ATGTTCACTCTTCCTCTATGAAAGGATTTTGTCGTGAAGCTTCCTCTCGAGACCTTCTTGTCCTCATATGCCCTTACGATGTCCTCCTTCACATTTCTCGCTAGGAACCTTGCTCTAGCTCGAAAGCTGAATGTTACCGTGTGCTCTTTCAGCCAATTGATTTTGGCTTGATCGAGAGCCATGTTAAACCACCAGTACTTGGCCCAGTTATCGGCCGCGGCGCTTCCCCGTTAACGCGCCGCGGCATTCGGGCTTCGGCTTACCGGACCGCATTGGCTGGAGGCCACAACCAAAATGAAAACAAAAACGACCGACTGCGGTTCGGCAGGACTTGGTGCGCAGGGGGCTGGGAGGCCCCGCTTCGATAGCTGGGCCAAGTAGTGGTGATTTAACCTTGAATCTTACTTTTCGACCCTCTATGGTCACTTCACCAGGATCAATCTTAGAGGGCATAATCCCTTTGTAATAGCATAGACGGATGAGCTCCTTCAAGCGGCCATCGTCCTCCCCTTCGTCTCCATGAGCCAAAGGAGGGGGCCTTGTCTGCCTATTCGCATCTTCCACCTCCATTTGGCAGAAGGCAAGATTTCAGTGCAACTTCGGAGGTTTGGCTCTGTCGATAAAAAGAGTGAGGGGAAGATAAGGAATGACCTGTCGAGAGAGACTTCTCTGATATGGTGCTAGGGTCCTCACGGGTGACCTGCTCGGGAAACCTCCATAGCTACACCTTCAGCTATGACCTACCACCAACAGTAGTTGACGGCGCCCCGACCTACCGCGTGCATATCTCGGTGGTATGCCCTGTAGCCAGGCACTCTGCCGTTACCGGCGGCGACAACGCTTGGTCCGAGTGCTGTTAGCACTGGCGGAAGCCTTCCGGTAGGACCCACCGCTTTGGCCTTTTAGGGGTATTTCAACAATGTCTGTAAAAAAAAAGATAGGGAAACGATGTTTTTTGCAATTGGCCATTCAGTGCCACAGGGCACTTATCTCTGGAACATCCAGTATTAGCCAGATTGTGTCAGAGTCAACTGTGGGAAGGCTGTCACATTGCACTGACGAGGGGGCTCCGGGCACCAAATGTGCCAAATGGAGAATGCATCTTCGGGTGGGGCTAGGTCCCACTTGCACTAATTAAGAGAGACTGACCGTAGATAGCAAAGATCAACGGCCGAAATCTCCTAATTTGCGCAAGTGGGACCTTGCCCCTGGTGAGTGGCCCCATCTGTGACTGTGGCGGAAGTAGCGGGCTGCAGTTCTGGCGCCGGGATCAGCCGAAAGTCACGCTGACATTAGCTCCCGTACGGAAGGGTGCTTGTTCACACTCTAGGACTTCTCGGAATGTATCTCCTCCTAGTTGGGGCCAGATACGTCTCAGAAGTGCGCTCCCGTCCATTTTGGCGGCTGAAGGACGACGACGGTAGTGGTGCAGAGCAGACGACGATGGTAGTGGTGCAGAGCAGTTTCGAGATCGCATCGGCTCGCGGTTGAGGGAAATACTTGCATACAACGCGAAGCATTTCACCTCGTTTTACGTCCAGATTCGTCTTCGAAAATAGTGTTGTGAGTATGCTCTTTATCCACGCTGTCGATCGTCGTAGCCAACTACTATGCCGTTCTGTTTACGAATGTCAACACGTTTTGCGGGCAGGTACAGTCTTTCCACGTAGCTCGACACCCGAGTTCTAGAAGTCTGACTGTGCGGCCTGAACCCATCGGCGCTGTGTTGACGCTGTGAAAACATATGTCGTCTAGGATCATGCTTCTCAACCATCAGCGCCCTGGAGGCTACTTGCGTCAGGCATCGGGCGCCTTTTTTTTTTTTTTTTTTTTTTTTTGGCGTTTTGTTTTCGGGTTCTCAACTCGCCGGCGCGCTTTGGGCAGCAGGGCGGTTATGCTGTGTCACGCATTTGGCGGTGCACTTTTGGCCGGTTCGTATTTTGGCGGGGCCTCATTCGTATTTTGGCGGGTAGCTGCCATCGAGCTTGCCGACCGATCCCAGGCTCGTATTTTGGCGGGTAGTTGTTTCATCGAATTCGCCGTGGATGACCGCACGCGACAATTCTGGGGGCCAAAAAAAAAATAGAAAAGAGAAAAAAAAAAAAACATTCTGGGGGCATGCTCACACTATGGTAGCACTTTCCTAAATGAAAGTGACTGCAATTCCGGGCGCGCCTGGATGGATCTGATCGCAATCACGTCCAGAGCTAAGTAGAAAAGTCCTCTGGTGTGAGCAGGTCCTGACGTGGCATGCACGTTTCGGACGCAGGGAGAGAGTGGGGGATGACTTTTTTTTTTTTTTTTTATCTCATCTATCTCATCTATCTCATCTATCTCATTGCACTACTCGCCATCCGCCAAGATTTTGACTGCTAAGTAGAAATGTCCTCTGTCTTTTTCTTGGTAGCCTCGTTGCACTACTTGCCATCCGCCAAGATTTTGACTGCATATGAACATCATTTTTGTCCAGATGCGTTCGAAATCTCAGGCTGGTGGCGTCGTTGCACCACTCGCCATCCGCCAAGATTTTGACCGCATATGAACATCATTTTTGTCCAGATGCGTTCGAAATCTCAGGCTGGTGGCGTCTCGTGCATGCAGGAAGGGTCGCTTTGTACCACGTTCTAGCGCTCAAGCTGTGTTTCTTCCGATCGACGGACATGTCCGCCTAATGTCCGACGGCATGCTGCCCTGCGAGTCTTTGCGAGTTTTTTTTTTGTGCGAGTTTTTTTTTTGTGTGTGTTTTTTGCTGTTTCACCTGCCTCCAGGCGGACTGCGATTTTGGAGGGAATGTGAACCCAGCGTCTATGTTGAAAGAAGCAAAATGTAGACGAAGTAGCGATGGAAGGTTTGTTGTCGATGGAGTTGGTGCGTAAGGGGAGGACAAGCTCGTCTGACCTGCCTCATTAACCGACCTTCACGCCGAGTTGCAGTTCTTTCGCACTTTAGCCCTCGCTCCACTGCGCTAGAACTGCATGGCACTCTTTCGTATGATCGCGGCCGTCGATGTATAAAGGATCCACGGCCGTGAGGTGGTCGTTTTGCTTGTGTGTAGTGAAGGCGAACTTGGTCTGCTAGTTGTCGTTGGTGCCATGTTGAAATCCTCAAGCGTGCGAGGTGTGGGACGTTTGACTCCCTCCGCTCCTGGTCAGCGGCGTAAGAGGGAGAGGCTGGAGGAGGGTCTGTAGCTTCTGAGCTCAGAGGCGGTGGGGTTTGGATGTTGTTGCATCGACGTCTACGGGGGCTTTATGAAGTGCTTGCTTTCGATTCTGTTGCTCCTGGAGATAGTCATTTTCAGCCTTTTTCATCCGGGTGAATTTTTGAGTTCATCCGGGTGAATTTTTGAGTTCTGTGAGTGCCACTGAGTGGGGCGCGTGTGTTCGAAGAGTTTTCTCTTCTCTTGCCTCTTCTCTCCTCTTGGCTATGGGGTAGGACCGACGTGATGGAAGTCCCATCGTGGAGCGTAGGGGGTACTTAAGGAAGAGTACTTTTCTTCTTTCTATCGTTTTCTCGGTGCTGGCGTGTGTTCGAAGCTGGATCGTCTCTCTCCGGGGGCTAGGTCCCACTTGCACGACTTTAAGAGATACCGACCGTAGACAGCAAAGATCAACGGCCGAAATCTCCTAATTTGCGCAAGTGGGACCTTGCCCCGTGAGGTGGTATGGAACGCGGATGAAATGCTGTATCTCGCTGTGGCGTACATCTTCTCGTTGTAGGCCACTGATAGATCCGTATTTGATTGTTGACGTCAAGAGTGATCTGCGTACTACTGCTGCTGGGCAAACGAAGCTGATAATGGACGCACAACTTGTTGGTGAATTTGCGGTCGATTGATCGATTCTTTCTTTGTTGGACAGATCGATCGAATGAGAGGTTGGTTGGTTGGGCAGTTTCAATTGGATCTGGGACGGAGCTTCACGTCTCTGTCTGCTTCGATAAATGAGAGTGCGAGGTAGCTTCTTGTGAACTGATGGAACGTATTTGAAGGTTGACGTTCAGGAGTGGTCAGCGTACTGCTGCTGCTGCGAAAGCGAATTGATCATGGACTCACAATTCTTTGGTGAATTTGCCGTCGACTAATCGATTCTTTGTTGGACAGATTGATGGAATGATTGGTTGGTTGGGCGGTTTGAACGAGATCAGGGAGGGAGCTTCACGTCTGCCTGTCTGTGTTGGTAAAGGAGAGGGTGCGATGTAGCTTCTTCTACATTGGCGTCTGTACTGTCTACAAGATGCCAATGTAGAAAGCGGTGGGAAAAGACAGTGCGAGGTAGCTTCTTGTAAAGCGGTGTTTGAACTGTGTCTACTACAAGATGGACTGGCCTGCCTGCTATGACACGTTTAGACGAGAGATCGAGGGCTTGTAGTAGTCGACTGACCGACCTTTACTTGTTCGACAGATTGACAGAATGATGATCGGTTAGGCAGAGTCTGGAACAATTTGGGGGAGGCAGCTTAGCTTCGGTATTGTTCAAAGATGGATTGGTAGACGCGATAAGACCAGATGGAGGACAGGTGGTCGACTGATTGATATTTTCTTGTGTGATAGATATGAGATGGAGTGATCGGTTGGGTGGGCGATCTGAGAGGCAACTTAGTGGCTAACGACTGTGTGCGTTGCGTTGTTAAAAGGGGAACTCTCTCTCTCTCTCTCTCTCTCTCTCTCCCTCTCTTAAGACGAGTGCGGGGGGGTAGCGTGCCTTTTTATAGTCACAGGTGGTCGATTGATTGATATTTTTTTGTGTGATAGATATGAGATGGAGTGATCGGTTGGGTGGGCGATCTGAGAGGCAACTTAGTGGCTAGCGACTGTGTGTGTTGCGTTGTTAAAAGGGGAACTCTCTCTCTCTCTCTCTCTCTCTCTCTCTTGTGGGACGAGTGCGGGGGGGTAGCGTGCCTTTTTATAGTCACGGAGTGTGTCTCGTCGAAGATGGATTGGCAGGCCTACTACGACGCGAGTAGACCAGATCGATTACCAGGACGGCAGGGGCAATGGACGCCGGAGAGGGATGAGGCATTGTCTGATGCCTTACGTCGATTCCCGCCGCGGTGTGTGGGACGATGGGCACGAATCAGCGAGATGGTTGGATTACCCGATGTAGCATGTCAAAACCGTGCACGTACTTTGTCGAGCAGTACGTGGCGGTCCTCCACCAATGCAGGGGCAGGGCACTTTGTCCAATCGATGAACGAAGGGGCTGGAGGGTACGGGCATCCGACGAGCACTGAACGACCCTTCACGAACGCGAAGCGGTCATCACAGCCAGCAGTATTAGCTGCCCCGGTGTTGAGCACGTGGCCGAGCTACCTGTACACGATCGACAGCGGCACTTATCATCCGAGGGGACTTCCACTCGCAGTGTCGGTACAGCCGCCGACGTGCCCGCCGCGCGTGATGACCGGTCGTCCAACAAGATTCAACCAGCCCGAGGCACAACAGGCGGGAGGATTCGTGCATGCGGCGATCGCACGGTCGGGACATCCGACGTACGTAGCCGAGGCGCAGCCACAATTTCTGCACGCGAAGGGTGAATGGTCGGGATCTGTGTATGTAGCGAATGTGTCGTCGTCAGAATTCGCGCGCGGGGTGCGTTTCCGGCCTGAAAACCCACAGCTCACCATGTGCGAGCGCCCAGATTTCGACCGAGATGTCATCAGATCAAGGCCAGGGTCTGGACGACACATGATGCCACGGTTTGCAGGCAGCACCGGAGGAGGAAGAGGAAGAGGAGGAGGAGGAGGAGGAGGAGGAGGAGGAGGAGGAGGAGGGGTTCGAGGACCGGAGTTGGAAAAGACAGCTGTGACTCCTCGCTGGCGAGGCTCTGCCGTGCCAAGTGCCCAAGGAGGGCGGCAAGTTTGGCGTCCCGTTGGGGAAGTTTGCAGTCCCGTTGAGGAAGCTTCTCCTCCCGCTGGGGAAGCTGGGCATCCCGTCGAGGAAGGACAGCAAGCAAGAAGAGAAAGCCAACGTAACGGAGAGGAGGAATCTCACAACCAATCTAGAATGCCCTCGATTACGCCGCCGATGGCGTCTGCTGGTCCGACTTTTCCTGTCCCAGGAGAAAGATCTGATGGTTCTTCGTCCTCCTCGCACCGTCCTTATGGGAAGGGTTGTCGTCGGAATCTCCCCGCCTCCGCTCCCGCTCCCGTTTCGGACGCCAGCCTTCCCTCTGTAGCTCGCTCTGCTCAGGTTGTCGTTGGAGGAAGGGTAAATGGCACTGCGACSGCGAAATCTAGGCTCGCTAATAATCCGTTCAGCGCAATTGACCCCTCTTTAGTGGGTAGCGACGGAGATGGCGGGGACGATCCGTCTCGGGATCGGGATCGGKATCGCAGCCTTCCTTCTGTAGCTCGTTCTGCTCAGGTTGTCGTTGAAAGAAGAGGGGTAAATGGCACTGCGACGGCGAAATCTAGGCTCGCTAATAATCCGTTCAGCGCAATTGACCCCTCTTTAGTGGGTAGCGACGGAGATGGCGGGGACGATCCGTCTCGGGATCGGGATCGGGATGGGGATGGGGATCATCCCCTTGTTGCGGTCGAGGAAGGCGATGACGGTTCGTCTTCTCAGTCTGAGCCGGAGACCCGGAGTAAGGAACGGTCCACTACCGCCGGTCGGCCTCCTCAACCAAGGAGAAGTTCTGGCGGTGCCTCTCAGCCTGCTAACCCCAGTCGGAAGAAGAATAAGAGTAAAAAGAAGGGAAAGAAGAAGAGGGCCAAGAATCCGTCTGCCCGGGGTGGGGCTGGGCGGAGTAGCAGCAGTGATACTCGCTCGGAGCCGTTTGAGAGTCTTTCCGGCTTCAACGCTGTTCTCATTGAGGCTCTGTTTCGCAGAAATCTTGAGGCAGAAATCAACCGCAAGAAGGCGCGGCAGCAGCAGCAGCAGTATCCACCGCCGAGGACGGCTGGGAGAAGCCATAGCAATGATAGCGATGGCGGCGGCGGTGGAGATTTGAACGCGCAATCTTACGGAAAGAAGAAGACGGCCTACTCGGGCGTATCTCCTGTTGCAGGAAGTATTTTCGGCAGCTATGACTGCGGTGCTAAGCATTGCAAGCAACGGATGGCGACGGCTTCGCGCAATGTCAAGGGCCGGGCATTGGTCCTCGTCAGTCGGGTTCTCTTCTGGGCTGAGGACGACAGCCCATGGAGGCGCGTTGCCAAGGCACTGCGCGCCGATGGCTGGTTGGTGGATTACAGGCCATTCAAGCCGCTGGATGCAATGGACCGATTACAGCATCCCATCTTGGATGAGATCGATGAGGGTGAAGAGGACGGTCGCTTCGACGGGGATTTGCCGCCGCACTACTCCCTGTGCGTGGTTTTGTCTATTCAAGCAGATGACAAGTCGTTCTTCGCGCATACCACGTGGAAGTCCACTCTGGTGGACTGGGTCAGATCTGGCGGCGTCCTGGTGTTTGCTGCCGGCGAGGGAAGGGCGTTGACTCGAATGTTGACCGACTGCTTTCACCGCACTTGGCAATTCGAAGGGTACTTCTTCGCCCGGCTGACGCACAAATTGGTCAAGGGCGCACTGCCGTGGCTCCCGCGCGACTGCGAGTTCATTGAAAATGCGCCCAAGTCCTACAATGTGAAGGCATTCATGTTGTCCAAGGTTCCTCTTCAGCAGCGCGTGTACTCACCGAAACCGTCTGAGGCCGGGTCATTAAGAAGAAGGGCGAAAAAATGGGCAGACTATGAGTCGGGATCGCATGGACCTGGACTGGAATCTGCCGTGGCGAAGATCAAAGAGAAGACGAAGCAGAAAGGAGGTGCAGGTGTTGTTGAAGGTTCGCTGGAGGTTGATTTGTCAATGTCTCCGGCTGCCGTCTGTCGGTTTGGCAGGGGTGTCGTGTCGTATTTCGGCGATGCGGAATTTGAGAGAGAGACTGTCCAGCTCATTGTGTCCTTGGCGAGGTCCACGTGTTCGCGTCGTGGTGGTGACGTGGCAGTAGTGCCTGCTGCGGCGGGCCGGGGCAGTGCCAACTCGCGCCGCACGGTTTGCTGTAATGTATGCGGCATGTGCGGCTCTGCGAACTCTCCCCTTCAGCTGTGCGGCGGCTGCAAACGAGTGCGCTACTGCGGGAAAGAGTGTCACAGGACCGATTGGTCGATGGGACATAAGAATTTTTGTGAGAAGAAGGGTGACGAGGATGGCAATCGTCGAGAGGAGGAAAGGGGGGGAAGGCGGGGGGAAAAGACGCAGCAGCAGCAGCAGAACATCAAGGTAAAGTATGCTGATGACTGGATCGATGGAGAGCTGTTCAAGGAAATTGACGAGCGCGCTGAGAACTACGGATTCACGAAGGACGAGGTTGAGGATTTGCGGGACCAGGGTGTGAAACCGTGGGACCCAGACGCTTGGCGTGTTCTTGATGCAATTAATGAAGATAAAATCGATATCGAGGTCGATTCAGATGCTTTGGAGGATGATTGGGATGATGAGTCTGATAACTCGGACCTGTACGAACTCAGTGAAGGCGACGGCGATAGCGACGATGACTACTGGTTCTCAGAGGACTTGGACGATTACGATGAGGAGGACGATTATGGTGGATCCGACGTGGACTATGAAGAGTACAAGGAGGAGAGCAGCGAGGAGGATAGGGAGGAATGTAGTGAAGAGGACGATGATGAGGATGAGAAAAATGAGAAGCGCAGGAAAGGTGTGAAAAAAAACAGGAAAGTTGAGAAACGCCGGAAAGTTAAGAAAAGCAGGAAAGAGGAGAAGGGCAGCGAAGATGGGGGCGAAGATGCTGACGCCAAGAAGGCGGAGAACGACGAGAAGTGTAGGGAAGGTGGGAAAAGCAGGAAAGAAGAGGAAGGCAGTGAAGATGAAGAGGGAAAAAGGAGAGGCGAGAGAAATGGGAACGAGGAGAAGTGCAGCGAAGATGGGGGCGAAGAGGTCGACGACAAGAAGGCGGAGAATGACGAGAAGTGTAGGAAAGGTGAGAAAAGCAGGAAAGAAGAAGAAGGCAGTGAAGAAGATGAGGGAAAAAGGAGGGGCGAGAGAAGTGGGAAAGACGAGGAAAATAAGGACGAAGAGGAAAACCGGAAAGATGGGACGAGTAGGGGTGATGAGGAAAAAGAGAGAGAAGAGGTGAGGAAGAAGGATGAGAGAAGTGCTGAAGATGAGAAAAGCGAGAGGAATGGGGAAGATGAGAAGAAAGAGAAAATCAGGAAAGACGAGAGAAGTGGTGAAGAAGAGGAAGAAGAGAAGAGCACGGAAGATGAGGGGAAAGGGGGAGATGAGAAAGAAGAGAAAATCAGGAAAGATGAGCGAATTGGGTTGGAAGAGAGAACCGAGGAAAGCAGGGAAGATGAGAGAGAAGAAGGGGGAGATGAGAAAGAGGAGACAAGCAGGGAAGATGAGATAGAAAAAGGCAGGGAAAATGAGAAAGACGAGAAAGGAGAGAGAAGCGGGGACGAGGAGAAAGAAGGGAAAAGCGGGGAAAACGGGAAAGGAGAGGAAAGCAGCGACGAGGAGAAAGGAGGGAAAAGCAGGGAAAACGAGGAAGGAGAGAAAAGCAGGGAAGTTGCTAAAGAAGAAAAAAACATGGAAGATGAGAAAGAAGAGAAAACCATGGGAGATGAGAAAGAAGAGAAAAACAGGGATGAGGAGAAAGGAGGGAAAAGCGGGGAAGATGAGAAGGAAGAGAAAACCAGGGAAGATGAGATAGAAGAGGAAACCAGGAAAGATGAGAAAGAAGAGAACCATGGAAGATGAGACAAGTGAGGGAGAAGTGAGAAAAAAGAAAAGTAGGGAAGATGGGAGGAGTGGGAAGGATGAGGACAAAGAGAAAAGCAGGAAAGATGAGACAAGCGGGGGAGATGAGAAAAGCAGGGAAAGTGAGAAAAGAAGGAAAGATGCGAGAGGCAGCAGCAAATAGGAGCAAGGTACCTATGAGGGTCTTCTGTTCTTCAAGGCCTTCTACGTGTACGGGAGGCAACACGGGTTCAGTAACGATGAGATCGATGATTTGGTCTGCCAGGGTGTGGGTCCGTGGGAACCAGACGCTCGACGTGTACTGGGTGTTCTGAAGCGTGACTCGTGAAGATGAGTACGACCTGTGTGACCTGGGTGACCTGTGTGACTTGGGTGACCTGGGTCCTGAGTGACCTGGGTGTTTTCAATCTGACGATGACCACGACCCTCAAGAAGCTCAGCATCGATGTGAGTAACGCAACGCATCTTCTAGACGGTAAAGTTGATAAGAACTGTTTTCTCCGTCAAGCGGAAGCGATGACGAGTGTTTTCTGAAACAGGCTCCTTTCTCTTTTTTCTCTCTCTACGCAGGTTATCCTCCCTCTTTTCTCTCTCTCTCTAAGCAGTCCATGCTCCTTTTTTTTCTCTCTATTTCTCTCTCTATTTCTCTCTATTTCTCTATTTTTCTCTCTATTTTTCTCTCTATTTTTCTCTCTATTCTCTTTATTTTTCTCTCCATTTCTCTCTCTAGTTCTCTCTATTTTTCTCTCTATTTCTCTCTCTATTTTTCTCTCTCTCAGCAGGGCATCCTCCTTCTATCTCTCTAAGCAGTCCATGCTCCTCTTTTTTCTCTCTCTATTTCTCTCACTATTTCTCTGTATTTCTCTATTTCTCTCTCTCAGCAGGGCATCCTCCCTCTATTTTAACGCTCTCGCTCTTTCTTCTGTCTAAGCAGGCAATCCTCCCTCTTTTTTCTCTCTCTCAGCAGGTTATCCTCCCTCTGCGACAAGGCACATCGTCAATGTCTGCGCTAACGGCAGTAGGGCGATTCACAGGTGGGTGATCGCGAAGAGGATGATGACGGTGAGTGCAAAGGATGGAGCTCGTTTTCGCATGAATTATCGTCAAGAAGCGGCGAAGGTGCACTCTCGAAGAGAAATGAAGCCGTTCTTCACAAATCGAGTGAGTGCTCCTAAGCTGACCACCGATCGTGGTCGGCTTTTTCTCTTTTCTTTCTTTTTTATTTGAGCTTGTGGTAGAGGTCAGGATTGCTTTGCTCCTTTTTTATTTTTATTTTGAGGGATAGGGATAATCGTATGCCTGTGAGAGATGCAATGTCGATGCTGTCGTTGGTGTCCTTGGGTGAAGACGGTATTTCAGGCATGTAGTCACACTTGCACTCTTCCGGGCCAGATTCAGTCGTAGAAAGTCTTAGTGTAAAATGTAAGTATGCTCTTACTCGTGATTGGATCGGTACGGAAAGCTAAATTGTCTTTTTTTTTTTTTTTTTTTTTTTTTTCTCCAATTGTAGTTGAAGAGAGATTGATCTCTGGGAGTCCCAGTGTAATATAAGTATATGTTCTTTAAGTCGTGATGATGGGATCGTACGTTGCTGTGTGTCGTAGGATTGAATTGGCTTTTTTTTTTTTTTTTTTTTTTAATTGGCTTTTACGTTTAGCCTTGATGGCCTCCTAACGTTCGATATACTTGCACTTGCTCGCTAATACATGTGTCATTGAATTCTGAGGGAAAAACATGTGTCAGCGATTGAAGCGGTCATGGTTATTTGATTGGTGGATGAAGACTGCCAAGGAACCAAGGTGACTGTTAAGCTTTTTTTTTTTTTCCCCTTTCTTTCTCTCTTCTCCCCTCAGGTTTTTTTTTTTTTTTTTAAGAAGCCTCGGAATTATATTGATTCCGTCTCGATTGGAACTTCGGTCTGTATTTCAGCAGTCCATGGGTTGGTGTCAAGCCTTTTTGACTTTTGACTCTTTCCTTCTGTGGCCTTTCGTGAGCAGGACCAGTGATGATAGTGGCGATGACTGTGAATAAGAGGTCAGTGGGTAGACCCATAACCTGTTGAAAATAGAGACCTGAGTTCAAGACCCTTTGATGAACAGAACCAAGTAATTCTGAATGACGTGTGGGCTGGTCAGTTTTCGATGTTGATATCTCAACGCCGTCGTCGGGCCTTTCCAAAAGAAAAAGAGAGTGAATGGAGGGTTCAGTTGCGTGTTGTTGACGTCAGCATAGTTGTCGTGAGAGTGAGATCTCCGATCGGGATCTCGTATCGTGCATGTGCACTACGGATCGAACACAAACGTTTTCTATTTGCTCCACCCCATTCCCTTGCCATCAAGCACCTGATCTTACTTTTTTTTTTTCTTTGTTTTTTTCTTTAATTGAAGCACCTGATCTCGTATCATTCGTGGGTGGAAAAAGAAAAAGAGAAGTGAATGCAGAGTTCAGGTGCGCGTTGTTGACGTCAACGTTTTCTTGCTGAGAGTGAGATCTCCGATCGTTATCTCATATCGTGCATGTGCATTACGGATCGAACACATCGTTTTCTATATGCTCCACCCCATCCCTTACCATCAAGCACCTGATCTTTTTTTTTTTTTTTTTTTTTTTCCTGGAACACCAGATCTCATATCATTCGTGGGTAGGAAAAACTGACTGTCGTTTGGTTAGATTTGAAGTCCTGTCGTTAGTATGAAGGAATATCACGAGGTTGCTTCCATGTCTTGATTTTTTTCACGTGTGATTGCCACGTGCACTACGAACCGGATTTGCCTGGTGATTGCCACGTGCACTACGAACCGGATTTGCCTGGTGATTGCCGCGTGCACTACGAACCGGATTTGCCTGGTCTTTTCCCGATTGGTTCCCCGCTCGTCGAAATGGATTTTTTTTTTTTTTTTTTTTTTTTTTTTTTTTTTTTTTTAAGAATTCAACATTTCATTACAAAAGGTCGAAATGGATTTCGCTCACACGAGCCTGCTGTTTATGGGCCTCGCTCCACTACTCACCAAATGTGCAAAAGGAGAATGATTCTTCCGCTAGAACATGGAAAGATACACGGCTATATTTTTTTTGTCTTTTCTGCATGTCGCAAGTAGTGGAGCGAGGCCTTAGTTCTGACAGGTGAACTGGGAAAAAGAAGAGGAAAATAAAAAGAGATGCGGCAGAGGTCTTCCGTACAGGATCATGCTGACGTGGCTACCCATGATGACGTGGCTCCACTACTCACCAAGTGTGCAAAATGAGAACGAATCTTCCGTGAGAACATAGGAAGATACACCGCCATTTTTTTGTCTTTTCTGCATGTGTGGTAATCGGTGGAGCGAAGCCTTATGAGGTCGTGGTGAATGCTGACGGGTGAACTGCGAAAAGGACGAGGGAAAAAAAAAAAAAAAAAAGAGTAGCGGCAGAGGACTTCTGTACAGCATCATGATGACGTGTCAACCCATGATGACGTGGAACGTCATCAGATGCAACTATCCGTTCTGTGAACGAGCATGAACAATCCCCAGTACACTATCATGATGACGTGGGTGGCACCTCATCGCAAGAAGTCGTCCATTTTCTGAGTATGGGCCTCTCTACATGCATTTGGACGCCTTTTCTGGACGTGATACGTTCAGAATGTTGGACTCGTCCGGATGAACCTGGTCCACAAAATATCCACATGGTTGTAGAGTGTAGTGTAGTGGCGCGAGGCCCTATTGAGTTATCACCAGTAGAGCATCATGATGACGTGGCACGTCACGTGTAGGCAGAGAAAGGAGACTACAGTCTTCCTCCGAATGCAACGCACGGTCATTATAGCCCAATTTGGTCTATCTTACAGTCTAAATTCAGCTATCATGACCGTACGTTATATTCGGGGGAAGACTGTAGTAGAGACACGGGAGCAGTTCGGTGAAGACGGAAAAGAGACGGCTCGTCCGAATTTTGAATTCCCAGGACGTATGTGGGCGGGAAGTACATGCGAACTACCTGGGAATTCCAGGCAGTGCAGAGCCCAACCTATCATGGATGTTTTTAATTTGTTTTTTTTTTTTTCATTCCATAGTTCGAAATAGAGGCTAGGTCCCACTGGCGTGTGTTCTTCATTCTTGACCGCCGACGGTGGCGGGAATACGCAGATCCATGGTCAGAAATGAAAAACACCATGTAGCGGGACTCGGACCCGGGCCCCTCAACAATACTCTCCCGGATAACAACTTACTGGAAGCGTCATCCAGCTCAGCTCACAGGCGTGAAGCCTACAGACTCCGCAGCTCTTGGCTGGCTCCTAACACACCCTACGCTATTATAATTTACACTACTCTTAAATTACTCTTAACTAAACCTCGAGTCCTAACTAATGTACAGTCGCCCCCTAAAAGCTGGAATTTGGAACGGGTTGTTCCAGGCTTCGTACCTACGCTGCGGATGGTTGACCATGGAATTTCGTTTTTCTACGATTGTTTCCGGCTTTTTAACTTTGTTTTGAATTGGATTACCTTCTTTTTCTCCTTTTGTTTTGGAAGAATTGAGCAATTTATCACAACAATGGAATCAGAGGGCGGGAATTCCTCGCAAACAACCCCGAAAATCCTGGGGCCTATGGGGCTCATTAGACACTCTATTGAAATCCTCGGGCAAAAGGAAAAATTCCTTTTGGTTCAAAAGGAAATTTGGGCCCTTCGTTCCACCTGTCCTCGGGGACGTCGCCCGAGGACATTTCCTTCCAGCGATGTCAAAAAAGAAAAAAGAAGAAAAAAAAAAATTCAAATGTGCTTGAGGCCTTCAGCCAATAGGGTGCCGCCACGATGCAGATTCTCGGTTGTAACGTCTCTCTACCCATGTCCCCGCTCCTCTCCGTGAAACGTGGATTCCTTTTGCCCAAGGGACGTCACGAGGTCCCTTGGGCAAAAGGAAGAAATGGCTGGGGAATCGTCGGAGCCCAAGGAATTTCCTTCGGAGTGTTTTCACTTTTTTTTTCCCAACTGCACCCCCGAGGATAGGTGGAACGAACAATTCCTCGGGGACTTTACACGCCCGAGGAGTGTCGAACGAGCCCCTTGGATGGTAACATACATCATGGATTTTGGGAGGGAGGGAATAGGGGGTGGTGGAAGCCAACCCACATCAGTTCATATTTACACAATACACCTCACATTGTTATAGCACTGCACAAGACATCATGGGTTTTGGGAGGGTGGGGACAGAGGGTGGTGAAGCCACCCCACATCATGATGTTACCAATTGTCTTCTCTTGTAAGATATGCATGATGTAACCAATTGCCTTTTCTTTATTTTTTCTTTCTTTCCAATTGCCATCTTTTAGTTCT